AGCACACTACAAACACTACTCACAAACTCAAACCCCCTCTTTATTATTTGAAGTTCAGTTCAAGATTGGGGCCAGGCCCGGAATTTGTTCAAAGAAAGACGACCCTAATCTGGCACTGCTGAGGCCTCATGTTGCACCTGCGCGGGAGCTCGGTTGCCTTTTGGTACACCTGGGATTGGCCCATCTGTTGGCCCTCTTGCTGTTGAAGCTGCCTGACGGCGTGCCTAATGGCCTCACACCTGCACTGCTCGTTCACGTTGTGGAGCTGCTGGCAGCACTCTCTCAGAGACTCCTGCCCCTGTTGTCCCGGGTTCATCTCGATCATGGCCTCATCATCAGAGTTGTACTTGCTCCTTTGGGAGAGGTACCTCTGGCACGACCGGAATTGGCGGCCCTGAATCTGGCGCTGACACTGCTCCTGCTGGCCGGGGTTTTCAGCCTCGTCGGCAAAGGTTGTGGTGGTGACGGTGGTGGTGTATGTGGTGGCGGCTGATAGGGTCACAAGGGCCGCAAGGAGGGCTGCCGTCAGGGCTATCTTCATGGCTGCCATGGATGATTTCTTTGATGAAGGGGAGTGTGTGTGATATTTGGTGAGTGATAGTGTCTTGTGTAGTGTGGAGGGGGTTATTTATGGTGGTGCATGGAGTATACGTGGCGGTTTTGGGGGTGTATGTGGATGGGATTTGGAGGGGTTATATGGGTTTTGCGTTTACGGGCTTCCACATAGGTGGTTTGCATGCGAGATGGTGGCAACAGGTGGTGTTTTTCAAAGGGTGTCGTGGCACTTTGCATGTGTTGTGTGGCAGGACTGCCTTTTTTTTTATATATATATACTAGTGGGATATCGGCTGTGCACAGCACAGCCGGGCCCAATTTTTGTTTTAATTATTGGTGTAATTTAAAACAATTTTCAATTATAGATTATGATAAAAATTTATTTTCATTTGTACTTGTATACAAATATATGTTTTGATTAAAAATTTGTTCACATCCCTTTTTTTCTTCAAAATTCGTTCAATTCAAAAGTTTAAGCAATTCATAAACCATTAAGTTAACTATTCAACGACGGTGACACATTTAAGTACGTTTAATACAATTGCTTCCATAAAACCCAAGAAATAGTAGCATAGTCTTGCAATCAAAAGCAAATGTACTTTTGTTATAACTAATGTTCTAATAATAAATAAACTGTCCAATTATATTGTGATAAAAAAAATGTGTTGTTGATTTATAAAAACAAATATTTCGTAGGCGTTGATAACTTCTTTTTTTTATATTGTGATAAATTGTCCCTACTATTGGTTTTAGCTNTAATATCGTTGTTCCTACTCTTGGTTTTAGCTGTACAATCTTTTCTTATCAATAACCTAAAATACACCCATTTGAAATTAAAAATCTTTGAAAATATTGAATTTTTATTTTTGTTTTCTATTTATCTTAATCCATTTGCTCAATGTCGGTGGATACTCAGCACTTTTATTACATGAATACATTTTGGACTCGCAAGTTTAAAACCTCAGTTGAATTTTGCATTTCATATGCTGGCAAACTATAGCTAACTTTGCCATAACGTTGAGTAACAAACATTTATGTGACACTCTGAAAATAGTCATGATAATGAATAATGAACTTGACTATGTACCTTAACCTGGGAAAAAAAAACAAAGAAAAAAAAGTTTCACATTATGTATCATATTTGCCATATAACTCGTGAGAAATATTGCATTCAAATTTTCAACATATAATATAATAATTGGGACAAATGGAAACCAAAACCTGTGCAAAATAAGAAATGTAATATCATATAAACTTTCGGATTTATCAAGAATTTTCACCATCTTCCACTAATCTCAAATAGAATGAGGAAAACCCTGGCATTGAAACAGAACAAAAAGAATCAATGAAAAATCTACTCAAGGAATGGGAAAGAAACTCATCAAGCAATGTATGAATAAATATGAAATCTGAAGCTCAAACCTGCAACAACAAAAGATTCTCAATAGCTAAATTTCCTAGGTTGCTGAACATCATCCCAATATTTAAGAGTACAGAAAAGCCCGAAGATATGGTCTCCCAATCTGTCATATGGTTGCTTTTCGAGATTCTCTTACCGACTGAAATACAAATTTTCTTATTTTCAGTGTCACTGCCAATAGTTTGATTCGTTCAATTGAATAAGCTGAGGATTTGTTTAAAGAAAATCACCCCAAGAACTTGAATGCACAACTTTAGAATGTCTTCACTCCATAGACCCGATAAGGCATAGAGGTAGCAGACGATCCTGCCTGAAGAATAATAATAACCATTATTAGATAAAATAATCATTAATCGATGCAAAATGCGAGAAAAAAAGTGGGCGATGTTGTACATTGTTAGGTTGTTTTCTTGACATTTGAACGAGGTGTGTCCTGGTGGGCGATTACTAACTTAAATCTAACATATTTCGCAACATAAATTGACCACATAATTTTAATTGTGTTTTTGAAGTTGTTTACAGGTTTCATATGCAGAACCTGAGCACATGGGGCAACTTAACTTCACCCACTTCATTTTTCGTGCCTGAAACTAAAAGCAAAAGCGAAAATGACTGCTTGATTTACTTTATAATATACTGATATGGTGACATTTTTCTTAGAGAAATTCTCCACTGCTCTCAATATGCAGAAAAAGAACTCACCTTCAAGTGTCGAAAATGCTCTAGGCGCACGTGCATGTGGAAGAAAAACGAAATTGCTGCACTGCTTTTTAACTTGGCAACACAATTGGATGAAACAACAAAATATGGTTAAAATCTCACGTGCTCGACATTTAAATTATAGACCAATTGTAGAAATAAAACTGAAACTCACCAACTGTAGACAAAATATGTGGGTGATCTGGTCTTGATGCAGTAGGTTGTACAATAAAAATTGCACCAATCTCTTTACCTGAAATTTCAACAATATTTTGAAAAAAAGACCTAAAGTTGGCAAAGTGGTTGGGCTATATACCTTTGCAAAAACTTAAACTACAATTGCAAAATAGTTTACATTCACCTTACAACTCTAAAACACTTGTGTTTTTACCAAATATTTTTCAAAAACAAGAGAAATCATGGCAATGCAATATATGAGGTTCATATAGACACTGGTACTTGATGCTAAAAAAAGTTACAAATAACTCTCTTAGAAGCTAAAGATGACCATAACACGAACTGGTCTAATGCTTGCCCAAATCTTTGAACATAACGAATAATAAGATGGGTTTGGACTCTGAAATGTACGGGAGCGAGAATTGCTTGAGGAAAAATGAAAAACTGATTTATATATATGATGTTTGTTTACCCAGGAGTTTGATTTGTTCCTAGAAATCTAAAGTTTCATACATATATAACTTTTTTTAAGCAAATGGTGATAGAACAGAATATCTTGATCCAGTCAGACAAAATTTGTTGAGAGATTACTGTGAACGAATATGCATTAGAAGATGGAAATGGATGAAAAGCAGGGAAAATTTCTTAATATATTGGGACTGGTCAAGTTCGTAGTGCACATATAAAAGCAACATTTAACAAGTAGGACCATTACTGAAAGTTGAGTGACAACAGGTCAGTCAACTATCCTGCTGTTGGTTCACATTTAAAAACAATAATTTGAACAAGCAAGTTTGTCGTATTTTTATACCTTTCTTAAAGGTGCTGAGAATAACTAACAATAATATTATGTTAATGGTAAATAATCGTTTTGGTGACAAAATTCAGACCGTATGTACACTATGAGGGCAAAACATGTCTGTGGGTTGAAGAGCTTCAAATCTGGATACACACCATAGGGTAGCTGCAATAAATAGAGACACACACATATATAATTAAGAATTAGGTAAATGCAAATTAAAGATAATTGTGACTCATGTAAGTAGACATTTATAAAGTCATACGGTAAATATTGAAAAACGTCAAGGTAGCTCTAAACAATTGACAAGCAGTAACCATATGATGTATATGTATGGTAAATCATAGTGATCGAACCACAAGCAGACATAGGTAAAATTATGACCAGTTGTCAGAAACAACTATCATTCAGTACCCTTGTCAAATGTTGATAATTGTTTCCTTTTAGTTATTAACCATTTAGCACCTATTCAAGTACTCATTCAAATAACCGAAATTCAGAACACGTGCCTATGGAAAGAACGGAAACATACATAACCGCAACTATAAAAAACAAAGCAAAGAACAACTGGACAATCTTAATATGATCAGTGTCACTAAAATTGAGTTTTCAAAATGTAAGTAGTTCAAAATACAAAACCCAACACATTTTGGAAAATAACCACAACTGCATACCTCCTCATCATCTACCAAAGCTTTGAGTTTAATATCAACTTCACAAGTAAAGATCTCACAAGGTTTGAGTACACATAAAAGAATACTTAATTTGTATTAGAAAAGAAATGTAAAAAGTACCATTTTCCGCCAGGGACTCTCATCTCCTGTACATGAACTCAATGCAACATGTCAGAAAAATGTCAACACGTGCTTAATGCCACCTTTGTGTCAAAATGTCAATCCTTAACAATAGAATGTTATAACTGAATGGTTAACATATACTAACTCGAAGCATCAGTTTGCAGGATATTTAGCTTATTTGCCAGATCCTCCAACTGTTCCAATTTTGTCGTTAAGGAAAATAAAACAAAGACAAAAAAAGAACCATTACCTTCAGAAACCAAAGTAGACATAATGGAGTTTTCTTTGAGTACACTATGAGAAACATGAGAGTTCAAACATGAGAGTTCCATATCATAGATCATCTTAATCTGCAAGAGATGAATGTAGGGATCATCCCTTAACTTATGAATGTGTGGTTTTAAAAATTTGAACATGAAAACTACACAAACCATGTTTTATTGGCTTTCATAATGTTCCAAACTCCTAAGCTATCGGGAATTCAACTATCCTAAAATACCTCTCCAGAACCGCTAAATTCATATCCAAAATGATTAAGTCGGCTACCTTGCAAGTTGAAGTACTCAGTCACTCTCCGATCGAAGGACCCACAGTCATAGTCGTCAATTGGACGCAGAACATATCGTCTTCTGCCTAGGAACTGTTCCTGGACAAGATGCACGGACGGCTGGACCTTGGCAAACTCGTCAGAGCCTAGCCTGATAGGACCCGAACCATCAAACTCGTCGGATCTCCGACTGGTTGTTCCTGAAGGGAGATTTCATGAATCTCTTGCTTCAGAGAACTGTCTCCTCTCTGTGGTAACGGAAGAAATTGGACAATGATAGAAATAAGAATAGTGGCTTCGCAGAGTAAAGAAAAAATGAAAAATTGTGTAGGGTTTGACAGAGAAAATGGAGGTGTTGAAATAAAAAGACGTCCACATTATGAAATTTTAGGTTTACCTTGGTGCTAAAGGAAGCTCCTGGAAACAAACCAGAAGAATTCACCGACCGTCAGATGCAGCGTCGCTTGCTACTCTCCGTTGGCCCGCCACAAATCTTTGATCTCGCTACCGTCAAAGTGGCCGGCCATCGCGGCGTGCACCGTGTAGTCGCGCTGCCACCATCCGCCCAAAAGTTGCCGGTCTCCGCCGCTCACGGGCACGGTCAATCGATAGCAAGTATTGTGGGATTTCAGAGAAATCAAAGAGAGAGATGAGAAGACGAGCGGAGAGGGAGAAGATAACTTGGGGAGGAACATGACGGGATATTTTTCCTTTCGGTCAAATTAAGAGTAGAAAAGTGTGGCAGGTGAAGAGGTTGAAGGTTGCGTGTTGAAGAAAAAAGTTGTCAGAAGTCTTACAAACTTCGCGTGGAAGAAACAATAGATTTTATTTTATGATTTAATTGACGAAATAGCCCTGTGTGTTGAACTGTTATGAATAATGTTAGGGACATTTTAGTCACTAAAAATCCACCGTCTGGCCGAACGACGCCGTTTCGCTCTCCAAAATTAAAATAAAAATAAAAACGGGCCAAAATAATAGGGGACACAGTGGCCTCAAAAAGACGACGTTTTCATACAAATTGAAGGCAAGCAAAGGTGGCCACGTGGCGCCAAAAGCAAGAGAAGGTGTGTATGTTCAATTTTCATACAAATTGAAGGAATGCTGCCTCCACAATGTGCCACGTGGCGAGCAACAAAGGTCTTACATTTTTTCTTATAAGAATAAGAGAGATATTATTATATTATTTATTCTTTGTTTATTTGAGTTTTTATGCGTTGAGGGATTGATTAGATTACCCATTATGATACATATGTTTGTGGATTAATATTTAAATCAGGCTGTAAGGGCCAGTTTGATAAACGAGTCGAGCTCAAACTCATTTAAACTCGCACGTACTATAATAAAATGATGAAATTTTAACAAAAAGTTCCAATACAAATATATTTTAATGGAATTTCGACGGAAATTCCAACAAAAATATTCCATTTGAATAAGTTTTCCATTGAAATTTCTGTTGGATTTTGACGATTCCAATGGTAAATTTTTCAACGGAGGTGGAAACAAAAGTTCCAACGGAAATTGCACATTTCAATGGTAAAAAACCGTTGGAAAAATAGTCGTTGGAATCATCAAATTCCGTCTAAAATTCCAATGGAAAAGTCATTCCAACTCAATATTTTCCTTGAAATTTCCGTTGTAATCATTCCAACGGAAGTTATAACATTGGAATATCAGTTGGAATGTATTATCGTAAGATTTTTCGTTGGAATATAACAATTTTTTGTAGTGTCGGTTGGTCAACGAGTCAATCTCAGCTCAGCGCAACTTGGCTAGGCTCGCTAAGGCTCGGGTCGTTAAAGCTCAAAAAGAGAGTTTTCATATAATTTTTTATAGTTTAGCTCCTTAAAGCTCCCGATTGACTTGTTAAGGCTCAAGCTCGGCTCGTTTATCGAACTCGGCTCGTTATTAGTGATAAACGAGTCGAGCTCGAGCTCGGCTCGTTTATCGAACTCGGCTCGTTATTAGTGATAAACGAGTCGAGCTCAAGCTCTATATTTTGGCTTGTTTATTTAACGAGACGAACTCGGCTCGGCTCGTTTACAGTTCTAGTTATTGGACATTGGGTTTGCACGCTTTGCAGCCGAGGGTAAAAAAAATCTTGCTACCCCCCTGGCCGCTTCACTTTTGTCAACTCCTTTCTCTACGGAGTCCCAACATTCCTAGGCTTCAATTCAAAGAATACTACAAATGGTGTTTTATTCTACTTTTTTTTTTTTCAGGCCTCGATGACCAAACAAAAATGGCTCTAGATGCCAGTTTGTTAGAAAATGGAAGAAGAGAAGTGGAGAAAACTGATAAATATTATTATATGACTCTTCTTCTTTTATTGAATTCTTCATTCTTACAATTTTCAAATGACTCGCATAGAGTATTTAGGGGTAAGCATGGGCCGATACGGTTCGGAAATTGACAAATTCGGAACCGTACCGAAATTTGGAGATCACTAAAATTCAATCTCCCGAACCGTACCAAAAAAATCGGTTCGGTTTAGATATTTTTATTTTTCAGTTCGGTTCTGTTCTCGGGACTATCAGACGGTTTGGTTCGGTTCGGATATTAGGAGATTTCTAATTATTTATTAAATTTTTTTAATGTCCACCTAGATGTATTTTAATTTTTATATGTTTTTTAACATCCAACATTCATCAATACTTTATCATACTAAAGATTTTATTTTTAAATCAACTGTAGAATTAACTTTAAATTTTAGTTAAGACTAAATTTGTGCAACTAACATTGAAAATTTAAAAATTCAAACAAATTATAATATAGTTTTTTTTAAAGTAATATTTCTTTAGCCTTCCATACGATGTTAGTTATAAAATAGAATAAGACTTGTATCGACAAATTTCAGTAAAGTTTGTTTTTTTTTTTTCCAGAACGACAGAGGATTAAGTAAAGTTTAAATATTTTAAAAAAAAAAAATATTTATTTAAACTTTCATACAGTTTTTAAATATATTTTTTTAACCCACAAAAACTCAATTGTAGATCAAGTATTACTAAGCATGAAATTTAAATGAAACTTAATTGTTATAATTATATTTTATTTGCATTTTAAAAATTTTCAACTTATATACGATCAAATTTGATATAAAATATGTTAATAACACAGTTATTTTTATTATTCAGTTCTTAATTTTGAATTTTCGGTTCGGTACGGTATGAGACGATCTGTTCGATTCTCGGTACGGATATTTGTGAAATCTCCAACACCGTACCAATTATTTTTTTGGTTCGGTTCGGTTCGTAGAAAACAAACAGTCAACGATTATTTTTCGGTTCGTAGTGATTTCGGTTCGGTTTTTTGAACAGTTTGAAATTTTTCGAATCCCATGCTCAGTCCTAATTTATAGGTATAAGATTGCACGAAAAAACGGAAAAAAATCAAATCTAGTCCCACAGGCATAGGGGGTGACAATTTTGGTCCCGACGGAATGCAGAAAATATGAATAGTCCCACAGCTTTTAAAAAATGATCAAAAGTAGGACTTTTTGAGTCGGATTTACTATTTTCGGCCCGGAACGCCACGTCGCACACATGTGGCTTATTATTTACACGCTGGCATCCAACGTAGATAGGAAAAAAATTCAAAACTAGTCCCACAAGTATAGGGAGGGTGACATTTTTTGTCCCGACGGAATGCAGAAAATATGAATAGTCCCACAGCTTGTAAAAGAAATATGAACACGTCGGATGCCAGCGTATAAAAAAATAAGCCACATGTGTGCGACGTGGCGTTCCGGATCAGAAATAGTAAATCTGGCAAAAAAAGTCTTACTTTTGATCATTTTTTAAAAGCTATAGGACTATTCATAAAAGCTATAGGACTATTCATATTTTCTGCATTTCATCTTACTAAAATTGTCACCTCCTATACTTCTGGGACTAGTTTTGAATTTTCCCTTCTTTGTGTGTATATTTCGTGTTTTAACTTTGTGCAGGTAAAAACTAAAATTAGCATGACTTTTTGGCGGGCCACTGAACACGTCGCACGTGTATGAGGGGTTGCATGCAAGCAAGGTGACAAAGAAAGCTTTGCGTGGAGGAGATCGACATGATGGAAGCTCCGTATGGCCAATGTAAGAATTGGTGTATAATGGCATTTCACGTCAGCATTATTATAGATCGATTAACCTTAGACTATGAATAACATTATAACAATAACCGTTTCAAACACCCAACCATCCAACCACCCTAATATTTAATTAATTTATCTCTCTTCCACATCATCAATAATCATCCCAACCACACCATCTCAATTTTGCAAGTTTATCAGCAACCACACCAACATCCAACCACAATATTTTTTTCTTAATTTGATTTTATTTAATTATTATATATTTTTTTATTTCATTTTATTTTAATTATTAATTAATTCTTTTATTTGTTTTGATTTAATATAATTATATAATTATTTTATTTGATAATTATTTTATTTTCTTTGATTTAATATTATTATATAATTATTTTATGATAAGTGATGGGGATTTATGTAATATGATTTAACATATTTATTTTAATTTAAAAATAATAAACAAATACAACATAATTAGTATATATATTCATACATACTTAAAAATTACGAATTTTGATATATTTATATTTTATTATATAAAAAACATACGAAATTTAAAAACTATATATTTATGTCAATTTAAAAATAAAAAATAAGTATCGCAAAATTGATCTCTATTTGTAGAGAATTAAAAATTATGAATTTTGGTATATTTATTTATTTTCTTTATTTTATTATATAAAAGATATATTAGTTTAAAAATTATTAAAAAAAAAA